GTGACAAAAAATAATTTGCAAATAATCATCCTCGGGTGAGCTCGGTCAACCAAAACCAACCGACCCTTTGAGTCGGTTACCCGTGCCCGTCGGATTATCACTCGTCAAAACTTTCGGCTAGCCATACCCGTCCGTGGTCACGGCTAAACCTTATCCGAACGGGTACGGCTAACCGTTTTCGACGTCTGGTCACTACTACTGATTCGATGGTTCAACCACTAGAATTTGACAAGTACATGAGGGCGATATAAAGTGTGTCAGGAAATAAATTGTATCCCCCGTTGCTTCACGAGGCAGATTACTGTATCTCTCTTGTAAGCTAACAACAATTTTCAATGCAAGTTAAAAAAAACTGGAGAAAAAACACTTTTAAGTCAACCACCCTTACTAAAATAGTGAATGTTGAGGGGGCTATCCAGGACAAGATAACAATCCTCCGCACTTGGTAGCAGCTCAAGCAATGGTGCCAGCATATCGGCTTCGTAGCGCCCGCTCACCACGCGATTCGTGTCATCAAAGTCAAAGTACAAAACACTGGGAACTACAAGGCGTTTGCCTTGTAGCATCTCAATGAGGTTTGACCACTTGCTCCCTCCACTGGCGGTTTTGAGCTCAGGAAACGCCGAGTGCAGCGTTTTTTCAGTGATAGTGAAAGCACCGTTCATGAAGGCTACCACTGAGTTTCCAACCCCGCGCTCCACCCTTTCCAGCTCGATGACGTGGCTCTCATGGTGCTGCGAGACGAGGCGCCAGTCTTCCAATGCCACTTCCACCATACCCGGCATTAAACAGCACGTTTGGTACCGTAATTGCCTGAAAGAACTGCGTCTACACATACCCTGGGTCGTCGCGGAGCGTTGTGTTGGCACTGCAGAGTTCCGATATGGAGGCACATGGGTAGAATTTATCTTGGTTCGTATACGGCTCTGATCAGGCCGAAGATCAGAGCCGTAGATCTGAAGTATGAACTGATCCCTTTACTATTGGAAGGAAGGTTTTGTATGGGAAGAATCTGAATGCATTGGATGACTGTGCTAGTAGCTACCTGGCGTGGCCAACGTAGATACTGAACAAAATGGGGAAGAAGTTAAGTGCTTTGGAGGGCTGTGCTACTAGATACCAGGCACGACCTAAGTGGAGACTGGAGTGGAGTCGGAGGCGCGCAGAGCAAGCGCCGTAGCTTCGTCCACGTCGCTGTCGATGTCGGTAGGAATATTGACGGGCTCTGGGAGCTGGATCCGCTCGCGAGTAACGCTGCGGGCACGGGCGCGGGGTACGTCGCGAACTCGGCGAACGTACTCGGCTGCTATCGTCTTGATGACGGTCACAAATGTGGCCATCGAAGGGTGCGGAGTAGGAAACCTACTGTTTAGCTCTCTATTGAAACGTTCGAGCGGGTTGTTGGTCCTCGCAACGAGCTCGTTGTCGAGACCAAACACGTTCCACACGTCAATCGTGTACTTCTCCAGCCACGTCCTCTCGAAATAGCCCCCAAATTCCTCCCATTTCGCAGTAGAGTACTCAGTTTTAGCTAAAATGCAGCGCTTCTTGATCTCTCGCCTCTCCCACTTGATGCCTCTTTCTACTTGTTCATGGTCAATTACAGTCAGCGTGTCTAACACGCCGCGTGTCATCGCAATTTTACACTCCTCATCAGTTATTGCATAGCGTTTCATTGCACGACGGAGTGCCTGTTTCATGTGGAACAAGCACCCCAAGACAATAGCGTTTGGGAACTGAGTCTGGAGGGCATTCATTGGCGCGGCTTCAAAGTCGCACACAATCTCCGCCGGCTCGAGCTGCTGATCTGTCGCTTGGACAACAAAGTGGACCATGTCCCAATACGCGTCTTCAGTTTTTGCAGTGCTCAACACGTAAAATACTGGCACACAAACACCCGAAGCGCGATCATGCACCATGAATATGACGCATTGTGCGTACCCCTGGGGTACACAACGAAATGTACCATCGACAAATAGCATCGTTCCGTGGTAGCGTAGCAGGGATACCAGTGCTGGGTGAGCCTAGCCCAAAAGGCGCGTGGGTTTAGTCACGTCCTCACGGTTTGCCGTCACACAGTGGAACTAGAAGATTGACACTTCCTCGTCGAGTGCAAGTGAGAGTGGTGGGATCTCAATGGATCCGTGTACGCTACCGGAGTAGTGTTGGTTCCTCACATGGTGAACACGTCGGACAACGTCAGGGTTGTCGCCACCGTAAAACCGACTGCGAAGCGTCTCCCACACTTGGCGGGCTGGCCACGCTACATTTTCAATCGCAAGGAGATCACTCTGTGCTTTCATCTCGTTCTCTACGTTTCTGATGGAGCTCGTAACGACATGGTCGTTGCACTTATGCGGTTTTACGGCAGTGTAGCCCATAGCAGCAATCGTGTACTCCATCTTCCCCTTACAGCCTTTTCGATACTTAGAGCAACGGTAGACAATCTTCCGCTACGAAGACCATGCACGCACGTACTTGTAGCTCTTGAAGTAGCAAGTCGTTCGCTCTGCACGTCTCGGCCCCACGCCGCCGCTGTTGCTGGGGCCACTCACGACCTGAGCACTGGGCTGCAGGTCCGTCTCGGCGCCACCAATTTCCTGCGCGCCCTCATCTCTGCCGACCTCCTCCACTCCGTCATACAGTCGCTGCCCCGCCGCATCACCACTTGTCTCCTCTTGGACACCCACGTCTGCACCTTGATGCATCTTCCCGAATGAGCGTTCCTCATCACTTCGCCACGGGTCTTCAGATCCTTGCTCTGATCATTAATGAGACAAACATCAGACCGGAAATCAGGCCAGTTCCGTATACGAACCAATTTAGAGCTAACCGGCACATGGATGGAATCCGGTCCGGAACATTTGGCAGTACTCTACCACAACCTTCAGGGCAGCATCGTCGGAACACTTAAGGAACGCTGTGTCGCTTGTTTTCTAGGCGGTTGACTTCTTCCCGAAGCCGCGCGACATGGCCCTCGAGCAAAACAACTTTACTCTCAATTTTCTGCCGGTATCGCTGCTGTGTTTTGCGTCGACGTTGCCGGTGGAGCATCAACAACTTTTGTGCCGATTCTACGGTCTCTTATCCTTCACTGGCTGTCATTGTGCTACTAGCTGACGGTTTGCTTGCTGCTGCGAGGGTCAAATGGTTGGTGCTTGAATGGGCTGCTTGGGGCAATAGCTGTCCATGTTGACGGTCAGGCTCGGTGAGGGGTTACAATTGAAAGAGTTTTCGACGCGCAGGTATTACTCCAGTCACTGCGTCGCTCAGAGAATAGCAGTTGGGCGGAACAAATGAGCTGCCTTCCATGAGCTGTCGAGGAGGTGAGAGGAACGACGAAAGTTTCGGAATAAACGCTTTCCAGCAAGCGGTGGTATAAATTAATTGCCTCTCTTTTCTAAAACTCATTTGGTGTCATCGCTTTGAACTTTACGCGAGTCATCAATTACAGTAGCACAAGACACATGGTCGACGAAAATCATCATCAAACGTCAAGCATACGAGGCATAGGGGGTGCATCTGGTTGCCATCAAATCGTAGGAGCTTTGCAAACGCTCAGTGCGTTATGAGCTTTGAGCAGGACGTTACTGGATCACCTGCACAGTTTCAAGTGACATGCGCATATTACCGTAGTGTCGAATGACAGCACTTGTAGGCCAATGACGCTGGATAGGGTACCTGTGCTTAACGCCTCGCTCGGCGCAGTGAGCCCTCACGTCGCGCCTGCCTGGTGTCGACACTAATTTGAGATATTTCTTCAGATACAACCTACGGTAGGTTGGTAGGTCCTACTAGAGGGGTTAGTATGAATTTAGATACATTTCGGACTTACCGACAATTTACTTTACTTCATTTATTCAAGAGCAGAAAAAATCGGCAAAACATAGATCGCTTTTCTATTGGACAGCGCTCTTATCACGTACACACATTACGCACCTAATTAGGTTCGGTCATCGTTAGTTGCGTTATGGGTATCACATAATGCGTTATGCAAACGGTATTTCTTAATAATATTATGGAGATATTAAAATACTGTACCTCATTCTTGATTAAATTATTCACTACGATAGTAACAATTCCACAAGATCTACCCTCTCAAGGAAAGTTTGCAACGAGTCTCTACTTATCATTGTACAAAACACTCAAAATTATGGCGTTTAAAGAAAACTACCAAGTACCATAGCACCAATTATAAGCAAGTTCAGTGCAATATCTACAAGCAATCCTATCGACAAGTACACTAGTATATACCAAGATTGCTGCTCAGCACTGTCGATGCATCTTCCGTACTCCCCAAAAGCTCAAGCAAAAGTGTCAGCAGGTCTGCTTCGTAGAAAACGCTGTCGAAGCGACTGTTCTCGTCATCCCATTCAAATCGCACGATGGTGCGAATTCGAAGTCGTTACCCAAGAAGCGTTCAGGCAAACGCTGGCAATCCGTTTTCTCCACCGTCTTCGTCGGCACGGAAGAGTGAGTTGCGTAACATTTTTTCCGTGATGGTGGTGCCGTTGCTCAAATAAGCGACTACAGTGTGTTCTGTGCCTGGCTCCAAGCGCGCTAACTGGATTTCCGCATTTTCGTGATATAGTGAGCGGTGGCTCCAGTTTTTGAGCGCTGCATCGATGCCGTACCCGTCGTTAAACGCGATGTTAGGAGCCATGGTCGCACGTACAAAGCTTGTCTGGACGAGCTCTTTCTCCCTGACTGCATCTATGCCGTTACGGAAAAGGCAAAAGAACTGCGCGGCTGCCTTATACGGCGATGTATTAGAAGCCACAGTCGGTGGCGGATCTTTGGATCATGAACTTTTACTGATTTCAGAAGTTTCACTTCTGAGTGAAGTTCTTACTTCTCAGTAAAGATGAAGGCGCGTTTTGCATGAGCTAAGGTTTAAGGAAACTAACTCATTATAGTTATCAGCCGCGCTTCGCTGGCTGGGCGCCCCATCGGCGCCTTCAACGCTCGCGACATTTGCTGGATTATATATTGGAGACCCGATGTCGGAGTAAGTTGAATATCAACATGAGACCTGGCCCACGGGTCGTCTGAGAAGCTGAGAGACACGGGCCTCTGCATGAGAAGAAGACTGAGGTCCTTCTACCGGTTGTAAGATCTAGTGAGGGCTCTGAGACAGCTAATTTACTTCCAATTTTCCGACGCTGGACGAAGCAGTATGTCTAGCGATCCCAGACGTGGGCGACTACGGCGAAGGCTACGACGTGGTGCTCGAGGGCGTGGGGCTCGAGACGGCGATGGCGCGCTGGGAGGATCGCAAGGTCATAGGCTCTTGACGGCGGCGGCCGCGAGTGGCGAGCAGGAGCAGTTGGGGCTTGACGGCGAATCGCGGAGTGTAGTGACCGGCTACGGACCAATGTGGAATGCACCACGGAAGCGTCCCCGGTACGATACCGAGGATAGGCAAGCATCGGCCGGTGGAGCCATCGCGACCTAGTGCTGGAAAGCGATTCCGCCAGAATTTCAGCTGGTACCTACCGGAAAAGCAGGCAGTACGAGCGACGTTACGAAATTGCAAGCGGTCAGCAGTGACCAAGGTGGGACGCGTGGGCGGAAACCCGGCGGAGATCCACACTTCCGGCGTCCGGCGAAGACGTTGAAAGTAGAGGCCAAGTATGGCGGCGGGCAAAACGCTACCGGTACGGCTGCGGCGTATACGACAGAGAGGCACGGCTCCAGAATATGAAACGGTACCAGGCGCGACAGACACAGGCGCAGCGGGTACCGCTCGTGCTCGCCCAGGGACGGAGTGCTTCTATTGCGGTCGAGAAGGACATTTTGGGCGTGGTTGTCGGTTGAAGCAGGCGGATATGGCGGCTGGACAGCTCAGTGCAGGGCAAAACGTGAACGAAGGACCGGGAGCGGGAAACGCTCCGCGGGCCAAAGGCAACCGGCCTTACTACTCGCAAGGTCTGGCCCGAGAAGACGACAGGAAGGTTTGAGGCGGCACGCACAGTGTGTAAGGAGACGAGAGTCGGCGGAGAGCACCCGCGTGCAGCATCGGCACATGGTGGTGTGTGCAGCTGGGAAACGAGGTGAAGGCGCGTACGAGTGAGAACGGCGCCATGACGGCTGAGGCGGTGTTGATGTGCAGTGACAGTACGGTGGACGCGGGCGGCTGCACCAGCGTGCCGAGCAAGGATGAGGTGATGGCGGCCGTCAAGCGACAACTTGATAAATGAGAGGAGACGCACGGCTGGTATCTCTGTTCCGCGAGCAAGGAGACGAGGCGGCGACGATGGCGCTCCGAGGTGCCTGAAAGAGGCCATGTCGGTGGAACTGGGCAAGGTCGACAGAGAATGGGCCCGAGTGCTGTTCGTAAGAATGAAGGACGAGGAGAGAGCGAGTGCAAGGGCTGATGAGGCCGCGCAATGTGAACAGAAGCGACGGAAACGCGTCAATCACGCTAAGGCGCGCCGGGCGAGGCGGGCCGAGCGTGAAAGGCTGGTGGCGTAGAAGGCCGAGGGCGATGTTGCGGAGGTGGTGACGTCGGCGCGCGGTCGCACAGTACAGTGTTGCAGGGGGGGGGCGTGGAGAACGATGGGCGAGTGACTGAATGTGCTGCCGCCGGTGGATTATGTAGAGGGCTTCACCGGTGCAGTAGCGAAGGATCTTGAGTGTGTCGTTTTTGAATTCGTACGCAATACAAGCAATTTATAGAAGTCGACGCACTGGTGGTGGAAGGCGCCACCACCGAGTTTCTACTGGGGGAGGATTGGTAGCTGCGAAACGGAGTCAAAATCGACTTCACAGCGTGTGAGATGAAGTGGTACTGCAACGACGAGAAGCGGATCATGCTGTTTAGCTGCAGATATGGAGGTCAACAGGACAGGTACGCAGCGAAAGTTAGAATTGTGAAAGCCGCGAAGGTCACGACGAACACGTGCAGACGAGTGGAGTTGGCAGTGGCAGTGTCGGAGGGCACGGTGGGCTTGTTGATGCCTGCCCGGCGCGTAGAGCCACACCTGTTGCCAGCTCCTACTCTGACGACGGTTGGGGGCGGCCGAGTAGCAGTCCCGGTGATGAATCTGGTAGGCAGCAGAGTGAGGTTGCCGACACGAGAGTTATTAGGAACGTGGGCACCAACCACATACGGCATGGAGATACTTGAGATGACAGGATCCTTGTCCCGCGATCGTGTGAAGCAATGGTTGTGAGACATTGGCGTGGACAAGGGACCGCTGAGTAACGAAGACGAGTTGGACATCGGTAACACGAGGGATACGGACAAGGCGTTACCACGGCGGAGGAACATCGGGTCATCGACGACAATGTTGACTCAATGCTGAGGGATGAAGTGGTCGAGAAAGGTCACGGCGCGTGGGGTTCCCCGCCGTGCTCGTGAAGAAGAATACGGAATCGGCCGGTGCGCTACACGCTCGAGCACCAGGTCGAGCGTGTGAGTACGGCACGCAACCGGGACGGGTGAGTGGGCAGAGATGGCTTTCCACGAAGTGTTCGAGGAGCTGGACGACGCCGGCAAGATTGAGGACGATCTTGGAGCGGGGGATTACGTGTAGTAGGGTGATCTACGACAGGGACTCGACGAACTCGAGCGAACAGTCGGTCGAGGTGATCGGTCTAATGGTCGAGGATGGCGTGGACGACACCAGCAAGTTCGGTGACGTGTGAGTGCTGTAGATGCAGTGTGGTGGCGGGAGCGATCCAGCAGGCTGGCGCCACCGAAGACAGGAGGTAACCGTTGAAGTTGAGCGACGTCGAAGATCGCAAGGAGGGCGGACGTGGGCGACAAGCGAGCGAGGACAGAAGGCAAGGAAGCGAGGCGACATCAGTAGTGTAGGAAAGGGCCCTCTCAGTAGAAGTAAATAGGCGACGGTGGGCTTCATAGGGAGGAGACCGGGCGTGTGGCTGGCCACTCGACCATCAGCTGATATTGTTCTCGATTGGTGAGCAAGTAAGACTAATAAAGGAGAGTGGCGCCGAAGCACTGGTTCTTAAGTGCAAAAGAGGGTGAGGCAGGGTAGTGCAATAAAGGCGAGGGCAGAAGGACCAGTAGGTTGGCGAGGGCCATGGAGAGAGACCATGGGGTCGTAGCTGTCGTCCGAGGCGGCTAAACTCAAATATGACTTGCCGTATGAAGCTCACGCTCAGTGCATGTAGTATGAAATACGGGTTCACGCTGCGAGACACAGCCCCCACACCGTGCCGATCGCCGATAATGTGTCCCCCTCGCTGTTCCTACCGTTTGGGTGGCTGATTTAAGGGCCAGTATCTGTCTGGTAGACTCCCTGTTCTGCCTTCGAACACTATCTGAGGGATCCACGCCACCTAGGTGCTGATGTTGACACAATCCTGCCTAAGGGAGTCAGCTGCTCTGGGCGAGAAAGAAGATAAGTCCTCACATGGGACATAACTACATTAGAAATAATACTGTAGTATTGTGCGTTCTACACCTTTGCCAATCCTAATCGGCGAGATCGTAAAACAAAATGGACTGAAGTAACTAAAGTAACAAACAAATTTTGAACAAATATTTGAAAAAGCGCTTTTAGAGCAATGCAAATTTAGTGTAACGCTAACCACTGGCTTCGAGTCAGTACCAGACTTTCGGAGCGCCACAATCATGCTAAGCGAGCCGAAGCACGGGCTTGCCGCCCGAACGCGGGTGCTAGACGCTTACATGATCGGGTAAGACTGGGCTCTGATGGCGGACTGTAACGGCATTCCAGCCACTACAGCCCGCAAGATTGTCAAGCGTGGGACACCGAACGTCAAGAGAAGAGGTGGTGCGCGGGCAGCGTGCACGAAGTGCACGTCTGAGATGAAGGAAGCGATAGTGGAGGACTTAGAGGAAAACTGCTTGTATACACTAGTGCAGATGCAAGAGATGTTGTGGTTTCACTTCCTAGCTCGCAGCAGCACATCTCTCATCAGCAAGAAACTATGTGATAGATTGTATACAGTCAGGTAGGTATATATGTGTATACCGTATCAAAGATAATTAGCACTAACTACAGTATGTATTCTCTGGACAGGTTCGTGTTGAGCTCGCAACGTCTAATAATGAAGCAAACATAGAGAAACGAAGAGTGTTTGGAGAAGCGCTGCTTGTGCATGAGAAGACGGGGTCTTTCATCGTGTACTAGGACGAGACAAATTATAACCTTTACTGTAAGCACTCTCAAGGACGAGCACTGATTGGACAGCGAGCGGTCGTCAAGCTCCCACTTTTTAAGGGTGCTAACTTACAGCTACAGTGTGCTGTTTCTCTGGAAGTTATGCTGGTTCACTGGGCTAGGCGCCGCGGTAGTATAAAGATGGAAGTGAACGCAGCGTTTGTGGATGACGTGTACGACGCTGTCAAGGAAACTGATGTTTTCAAGGAGCATTTCGTTGGCAAGACGATCGTTATCATTTTGGATAACGCGCCAGCCCATAGCCATACTGAAAACCTGGTCAAGGGCAGGGGAGACCTGGAGTTGTTGAGGCTCGGGCCTTACTCGCCCATGTGCAATTCAATCGAAGGTATGTTGTATGATTAAATGATGTAGGTCTTTTACTCATTAATATTGTGCTTTTTGTATGTTGTAGGCTGCTTCAGCGTGTTGAAGGCGCGTATTAAAACTTACCTCGCCATGAACAGCAACCAAATGTTCAACCTTCCCTTTGGAGAGATGTCTGAGCGCCGGATGCGTTTGCTGCAGAGTGCTGTAGACCACTGTATGCCCTGCATAAACATGCGTCGCGTCAATAAAATGGCTCGCCATTGCGCATTGTCGGTCGCACCAGCGATTCGTGAGGAGCTTATGAAGTACAGTACGTAAAGATTCACGCTAAATCAGCATTGCTCTACACTAGATTTTCACAAAACAATGTTTTTTAAAAAAAATGAAAACTAATTTTGGGTAGTTCTGGACTTTTTAAAAAGGAAATTTGTATGCGAGTGACGATTAGGATTTGGTCACAATAACAAGACGATTAAATCGTCTCAATTGTGTGGGCCACGTCATGTTGGTCCCCTTAAAACTTAAAATTTAAGAGGACCAACATGACGTGTGCCCACATAATTGAAATCTCACAATAATGGCGCTTGCCCTCCGGTTCGCTGAGGAAGGCGAGTTCAGGTTCGTGTTTCTTGTCCTACCCACTCCATATTGCTTTACTCACGTCACTCCTCGCTCCCTCTGCACTTTCAGCTCTCGTGCATGCGACATTTCTCCCTTTGACGCTTCCGATGTCGCTCCAAGCAAAGCTTTCTTCCGTGTAAAGTTTTTGAGTTTTTGTCACAAACACTGTACTAACTCTAAATGATGCTAACACTTGGTCGTTTTGTCAGTGGAGTCGCCCCGTGCGTCATCTTCTGGGCCATCAAGCTGACAACCCTGTCAGGATCAAGACTCTCATTGTTGCTCTGCCCGGAGCAGCCCATCAATTCGTGCAGCAGTTGACGGCCACATGGACTTCAGTTGGAACTCTGGTGACCAGCGATCAACCCATTGTACTTACTTGTTTAGTCATTTACTGGACCAAAAGTCGGTATTTTCACAAGCTTATAATTGACATTTTATGTATCATCAGCCGCCTTGCAAATTGCAGAGTAGCACGAGCTCTCCCGGTGTGATCCTGTCAAAGACGGGAGATAAGGTCTCCGAGGAGAACAACACGTTGGCGCTTCTAGTAGGACAAGATGTTCCTGTGGCTGCGACGTGGGTCTGGTTAAAAACTCTGTTGGCGCACGTGGATGCAGAGGAAATTGTGTGTCTGGACTCGCAGCTGTCCACGATCTACGCTGCAGACGAAGAGGCTGGAGCCAAATTGAGGACGTTGGCATCATCTACTGTGACGGACGAGATGAAGATGACGACGCCTGTGCGACCTCTTGAAGTGCCGCAGTTTGTCACCGGTATACCGGCGGCACTGCTGACCCACGTAAGTTTCGTAGACGATACCCGTGTTTGTATAACACTCACGAGTATTCTGTGACTATCGTAGGGCGAGCTCCGCAAGCGCCACGTCCGCTTGTTCGTGAGTGTCCGTGACGTGTCGACGACTCCAATTGACATAATGCGTAGCTTTCTGCCGTTAGCTGCGTCGTCTTCGTCGGCGCTCGCCGCCCTGGAGCCTCCAATGTTCTTCAAACCCAGCAGCAGAGCAGCTGAAACCGGCTCCCTCAACGTGCTCTACACGTAAACTGTGCAGGGCCTCTTGGCGATTAAACCGCCATGGCGAAATAGACGGATATTTCAAGCACACCTTTGAGTGTATTTGTAGGGAGAACTGAAGTGTCGTGGCCTTAAAAAATAATAGCGTCATTGAAGCCAAGAGCTGCCGTGGCAGGGCTTGAGGTTTTTCTCGTCTCTTAATGGACAATCAACCGAAAGCGGCGTCAATGCGCCAATTCTCGACGCGATTCCTGCCGAACGATGGCATTCCCGAGTACAACGCGCTCTTGGACTCGCATCTAGGCAAGCGACGGGAATTTCTTCTCGGGAACAGACATTCGCTGGAGTTAATGCAGCAGACTGGAGTGATTGAACGCGTCGAGGCCCAACCAGACAACCCCAACCAGTACGTGGTGCACATAGCCGACAAGCCCATCCACAGACGCAAGCGGCTGCCTCCACGTTGCGTCTCTGGGCCCTTGCAACTCCCTGAGTCGCAGACGATGCCGTGGCGACAACATTCCGCCTCGAGAGATACGCTGGAGCTCAGACGAAGAGATAACGCCCATGAACTACTGGGCAATAATGGTAATTGTTACGATGTGAGCGCAGCCAAGAGAGCGAATGCTGCCACGTTAAGAGGATTGAGTCGAAGTTTCAGCTCGAATACTGTGCTAAGTACTTCTTGTAAACCGGTATTAAAGTCAGCAGCAGCGAATCGATTAGCGCTTTTCGGCTCCACCAAGTGCAGTGCATTGCTAGAAGCTTCTGCTATAAAACACCGAGATTCGACGTCATCTGAAGCCTTGGAGGTGCGTCCACGCAGTCGCAGTGCAGCGTCGACGAAAGGAGTAGTTTCTAAGAGATCGATATGTACTGCGAATACCGGTACAGTTAAAGGTACCGTGGAGCATTTACTGGAGAGTGATGCGGCGTTCATGACTCAAATCCGGACGATGAAGGACCAACTCGCGGAATTGGAAAGTAAGAAAATGTATTTAGACTCGGAAATCGGTAATTTACGACGTAAATTACGCGGTGTGAACGCTGTCCGAGAGAATGACGAGGCTGTAGCGCACTGCTCGTCCATCATGCAGCATCGATTGTCGAAAGCGGAAGAAGAATTCATGAAGCTCGTCACACAGCAACAAGAGATCAAGAAAGACGTGGATCGAGTGCGCCGTGAACTTTTGTCCATGCGGAAAGTGCGCCAGAAACTGCAAGAAGATATCGAGGACGTGGCGCAGGCGAATCAAAGCTATGAGGAGAAGATCTACGCATCAAAAAGTGTACGCAATCAATTGTCAGAGGAGCTGAGTGAGCTCGAACGCAGCGCGGAAGCGGAAGTGGAGGCCCAAAGACTCAATCTGCCGCCTGAAGAAGCGGTGGTTGTGGATGTAGCCAAGCTCATGGGCGCAGTGAAAGAACGACGACACGCGCTGGTTGGGCTCCATGGGCCGGGGAGAGCGCTGGCGATACTGCAGCCTAGCACAGCTACACCGGTTAATGGAACGACGTCAAGAAGTCCAAGTGATCGACGACATCCCAAGACCCTGGTGGATTATTGTGTACGAGTTTTTATTTTACTGTATTTTTTTATTTTACAATATTTTTTTAACATTTATTGTTATGAAGACTGCATTTCGAGTACTGCAGAATTCAATGGGATGTTCAAATGTGGGGGCACTGGAAGAGCAATTTTCGACTACAGAGGAGCAATTGCTGTCCAAGTATAAGGCGAATCTTGCGCTAGCAGACGAAGTTTCGGCGTTAGAGAAGGAGATTCTTGCGGTGACTAACGAAAAGAGAATGAACCGTGCGAACGTACGCGGAGTCGCCCAAGCGAGTGAAAAGCTCGAGCGGGATATGCAGATCCGTATCCAGAGTGTTCTCGCGAGTATAAAGTCTTACAATGAGCTGCGTGAACAGAGGAATCGAGAACACGCCAAGCTGCGTGCCATCATGTTACGGTGTCTAGACGCTCTACAACTCGACGTTCGAGGGTCCGATCTTCCCGACACTAACACTAATAACGGGAACTCGAACCGCACTAGATCGAAGACTCACTGGGCTGACGCCCCGTCTCCGGAACTCTTGGAAATGTTACAGCGGAAAATGACACAAGTTGCAGTCACACTTAAAGTCAAACACAGCTCTCGGATCCTGGAGATCCCTCCCGAAGCGCTGAGGACGAATCGCGGACACGACGGTCGACGCAGTAACATGTTCTCAGCACGAGAGACGTCCAAGATCGTGCTGGGACCGCGTGAACCTTCGGGCTCTGCGCTGTCAGCCATCCTCGGTACAGTTCAACCGCCATCCATCGAGAGCGCAGTCGCTTTAACGGAGAACGTGAGCATGATGGAAGTGATGCGTGGACTGCATCGCTCTGTTAGTCCTGCGCACAGGAGAGCAAGTTGTCTTGCGCTGGATGCGCCAGATCTGGGCAAAGTGGGCAGTAACTCTACCAGCGTTACCGGTAATACTGCGCCAGCTGTGGTGGCTTCACTCAGCGCTGCTGGGAATGAAGCGAGAAAGTCTGTTCCAACCACGTTACCTCCCGTTCAATTACGCAGTAGATCTTCGTTGGCTGCGATGATCGAAGCAGAGGATGAAGACGACGAGGACAAGGATGCTGACAACGCGAGTGAGGGCGTGAAACTAGAGAAAAATGACGGTATTGACGAGGAGGTCAATGGTGATACGGATATTTAGAAAGTGTTGTGCTCTTATTGAGGACAATGACAGAAGTTCAGCGTCTATCGTACTGAGGTCGTGGGGATACGTTTACGCGAACGACTAAGTGGCGGAGCTAGACGATTGTTTCCAGCTGACTGTTGTCGGATGAGCCTTTGCCGAACAGTCCGTGGAGTTTGGAGCCACTTGGCACACAGCGAGTTACCATAGCGTTGGCACGTGAAAAACCGTGAGTAACTCGCTGTTTCGTCCGCTGAAGCAGCAGGAAAGATCCGCTGAAAATGTCCACGTCGATCCATTTCATCGTCCATGGATCGTACGATATCCCAGTCGCTAGGACTGAATAAATCCAAGTGGGTAGCGTCAAATCGATCGCTATTTGGGTCTTGTACAGCTTCGTGGAGCTGGCGATTCGCTGAAGTGCTTCGTGTGGTTTTACTGCGTCGAAACTGGCGAGACGTACCGGTATCTTCCGTAACCGGTAAATAACTTAACTCAGTACGAAGATTAGCAGGGATGTTCTCTTTTGGTACGCTTGCAAGGGGCACCTGTAGCCCCACCAAGTGGAACGTGTCGCTTAATAGCAAACCTTTGACTCGGCGATCAAGTGGAGAACCTCCCATTAGAGACGGAGACACGTTCACCTCAATGAGCCAGGGACGAAGCTTTGAGTCCAGCATGAGGTCAAAGCCAAAGAGTTCGTAGCAAGAAGCTTGGCCTGCGAACTGGTGGAAAAGCGGCGTGAGGTGTGCTTCAGCAGCGATGATTGTCTTGCACACTATGGCTCGGACGGGACGCATGAGAGTCTCGGGATCGTCCAGAAGTTTTTGGGATTGAAGCACGCGGATCAACGCCGATAAACTCCATTTACTGCCAGAGTCTGCTCCATGTGCGTCTGCGTTCTCTACGAATCCATCGTTGCTCTTGTTGATGGCGTAATTGGTGAGGTGAGCGAAGCGATTTCGCGGGTTTTTAAGCGAGTACGGCGCCGTACAGAAGCGAGCGATGCCTTCTTGGAAGAGATAGATACGAAGAGGATCCAGACTAGTGACGAGGACGTATAGTCTGAGATCGAATTTGTAGCGTTGACCGTCTCCCAGAAGCAGAGGATCCGAGAGGTATCGCTGCAGTAGCATAGTTTTCGTGGCAATTTTTGTTTTTTTCGGAACTTTACGAGCCTCTTCCGACATTTTACAAGCGTCTCGGTGTGTTAAAACGCGAATACCACGACCACACGCAGATGCGGGCGGTTTAATGATCCAAAGCGGTTGGACCGTAGCAACATCGGATCCGTTATTGTTCGACACTGTTGGAGGAAATGTTTCGGTTAGAAATGCCTCGTTACGCTCCAATGCTCGTCGAAACGAATCGAGTTGATCTGGCAGAGAAAATCCTTCCGGAAAGAAATCGTAGCTTGATCCAAATCTTCGACGATAACTGGTCAAAATCTTCAGCAGCCGATCTTTTCGACCAATCACCCACGGATCTGGAAAGTGATTAAACACTTGCGGGTGATCACCTCGGAACTTTACGAACTCGGTTTTGGGAGCAGGTTTCGCCCATGCCAAGTGCCACGCGGTCCATTTCTTCCTCGTACGAAACAACCCAGCGGCAGCGAAGGCGTTTTTCACACAGTTGCGCTCCCAAGACGTTCGGTAGAATAATTGAAGTGTCTGTGCGTCTACCGTGGTGACGACTTGGCCTCTGTAGTCTCGTACAACCCCGAGAGATAATGGGTAGTCGAAACACACGGTTGGATTGCGTCTAAGCGGATCATAGCGACTGAATAGAAGCTTGACGACAGTAGCTGGTGGACACTTCTGACCGGGTTTCAACGTTTTAATTGGTTTATCACCCTCAGCTGAACCCATCTCAGTATCGTCACCACTCTCTTCGTCATCGGCGTCTTCAACGCCGCCATCTTCAGCGTCGTACTCGTCTTCGAACTCTTGCTGCGGTTCACAATGTCCGGCAGAAATGTGCGACTGGCTCGAGGGGATGGGTGATTTACCAGAAGGACTTGTGGTGGCGTTTAGTGTGGGAAGAAAGTCGTCGATACGAAGCAGTCGACGACGCAGACTCACACGCGTCTCCATCGATCTACTCCAGAGGTCGTCTCAGAGATTCCACTGCTATACTGCTACATCCGTTTCGCCTGATGAAGACGAAGAGCCGTCCTCAGCGACTTTTGAGACTCAGTAGTCAAGTGGGTTGGAGTCGAGCGATGCTTCGAAGTTTAACAGGAGGACCCGTCAACATTTTCATGAGGAGTAATCTGATATTTTTGAGCTTCTATTTTAAAGTAAAATTTTGAACATGTTAGGATTCAATTCTTTTGAACGTAAATGAACACCAAGAGAAACGTACCGGTAATTACTGCTGGACAGCACGCAATGGATTTTGTCGAATTCGCATCCTGTATGACTCCGACCACTTTGCGAGCGCATGTAGGCTGCCTATGCGCTCGTGGAAACGGCTGCTAAGCCATTCGTTTTGAGCGTAAAGCGTACACAAACAAGTTTAAACAGAGTGTTCTACAGTACTCCGACAGCACTAGCGTCAGAGCTGTGGTGGAGCAAGCCTATAAAAGACCGACATAGACGCCACTGGACCACCTACCTTCGAGGTCAACTGGCCACCACAGCGCTAACGTAGAACAGGCATCTACTCCGTTTGACCTTAAGGCACCAAACCGTAGCACAGTCACCGAATGGATTGCTAGCGCTTGGGATGACATTGCGGCATCGATGATACGGAATGGCTTTACGAAATATCAAATTGGCGACGGTGACGATGCTGCTGACGCTGAAGACAGCCCGGACTTTCAGCAGGAGGTTAATGAAGCTGTTGCAGAGCTCGAAAAATGTTCATTACTCTCAGAAGTAGGTAGCGGCGGTGATGTAGTGGATAGTTTGGTTGATGAAGACGATGACTACATGTAGTACACTGAGTGAGGGGGAGGCTAAAAACCCAGAACCCAAACCAGGTTGCTACCCCCGCGGAGGTTTCGCTTTTCAGCTCGACAATGCAAGAAATGCTAATAAGATAAAGTAGGCGCGATTCGCTCCGCACTCTATATTTTCTACTACACGGGCAAACGTTCATTCAATAAAAAATAAATAAATCCAATATTTTATAATTTTGCTGAGTACTCACGTACAGATTTGTATATTGATCAATTAAAATGTCATTCTATGACATCTTACCGCTAATGACATAAGCATTAGGGTATGCCTGTATCAGATATTAATGCATAAACTATACAATGCAATTTGTGTTGCTGCCCTCGCGATTACGTACGCCTATTTAAATTAAATGTTGCTCATATAATACATAAAAACTACTTCGAAACTGCACCCCGTTTTCGCGCCCTTGGATCTTTGTTAAACTTCCGGATGTGATGATCCTGAATCCAAATGAACTTTCGTTTGTAAGATTTAATTGCAAATCATATATGGTCCACCCCCGCGAAAACGGGGTGCAGTACTGTACCTGTTTGAATGGCGGGTAAATGCGGGCTATAAAGTTTTTCAGAAGCAGGGCCATGGAAATTTGATGAGTGAAACGTAGCCCACCCTCTTCTAGTAGATACTGTCTGAGAAATATTAGACTGGTGAGCGAGTCTTCAGTGCTGGCTGTTGTCACAAAAGCTGACGAAATGAGCAAGTGGAGGTAGAATTTCAACTTTAAAGGGTTAAGTTACCAGCTTCGTCCTCACACTGTACTTGTATAAAATATGGAAATCAGCAACCACAGCAAGAACATCACTCTGTCGGGATCGAGTTGAGCGCAAAATCTGAGATGTTTTATATTTGTAAGGTGTACTGCATTGCAGTCATGGTGGCCAACGCTGAACTCTAACACCCATGCTTCGCCGACTTGTATCTCCGGCGTAGTCGTGCCTACTCAGCTCTCCTCTGTTCATGCTCTTAGCTGCTGTAGACTGGATTCCTCGTCCCATCTCTCCTTGTTATTTGCATCTTCCACCCACCGACGAACAACCCCAGCATACAAAGCTGACACTCTGTTCACCAATAAATGATCGTCTACTGCCTCTGTATTATAGACCGAGTTTGTGGCCGTATTCATAGTGTAATTTTACTATCCAATCCGCCTTTTTTTTATGCTGTCGAAAGTGATGTCTCCAGCTCTGCACCTGGCATGCATCTGCCAACTTCCTCGCTCTCATGTACCAAAACATCAGTACTCGAGTCTTCGGCCGATTACATCGCCTCATAAAACCCAGGATCACCTCACTGTCACCCGCAACCTTGACGTTTGACAACACCTTCTCTGCTGCCTGACTTAGCAGTTGGTGCAAGCCGATAAAATCGGCTACATTATCGGACGTGCGAGTATTGCCAAGTGCAGTTGCAGCCGCCTACAGAACTCACGGTATCGTAGACTCCCCCTTTATCTCAACAATGACACTGGCACTTCCTCCTGCACCTGGGTTGCCGCGCGAACCTCCATCGAAGAAGCCGGTGCGGTGCGTGTAAGGGCATGCGCCCGTTTCTGTATACCCCGACTTGCTCCGCCATCTAGTTGCTATGTGGGATACCACCTCTTGTCCAAGGTACGATTCCGCTACTAATGGGTGCAACGTGAGATAATACCTGCAATAGGCATCATCAATGGCTACCATCCACCAGCATATTGCCCCTTCCGATGATGTTTCTGCTGTGCATCCTGATTACACGATGTCTACATTCCAGCGCCATATTGCCGTTAGCGTTACCGCGCTTATAAGTGACCAAAGATCGTTCGCTACCTCCTACATTACACCCCAGCACTCCTCCTTGATGTGCTGCCCCCACCGTATTATCCAGCTCGGTACTAATTCAAGTCTAAACGATATATTCTCTGGAGCGCTTCATCAGTTAGCTTCATCCCATCTGTGTTTCCTGTACCAAGCCGCGCGGGCCCATACTCTCCAAAACGCCTTCGCGTCTGGACAAGCTCACACCATATGTTCTTGTCCTCGGTCCTGTCTCGCCTGACAGTGCGTCCCTGAAGAGGTCTTTCCTGGCCATTCAAATCCAGGTTGCGGTTTCCCTGGCCAAAATTCTCGCTTTTCCCGGAATTTAAATTTCCCTCCTCGCTCTGGAGGTTCGATAATTGGTAATAGACCCTCGCCAATTCTCAGGGAATGTTGTGGGCCGGGTTAAAAATGTTTCCCCCGCCCCATTGGAAAAAGTTTTTCCGGTTTGTTGGGGTTTCTAGTGCCTGCTAGCAATCTCCCTCTCTATCGTAAATAATTTCTCTAACCTTGCGCGACTGCCTCCACCGCGCCCATAATGTCCTCATGTCGTTGGGCCAAGGGTGCTGTGTTATCCACGTAGTTCCTCCCGTCACCCCAAGGTGCTGCTTAGCTGCTCTCTCTAGTGGTTGGACTTGGTTCTTTCGGCAAATCGTCTGCACCGTTGTTTCCCATAGGTGCTTTGCACATGATATGCCTTCGTCTTTGACAACCCAAACATTATGATGGAGATACTCTAGTCCATGTTTCACCTTCAGTGTTTCCGCTTCCTCCGGTCGAAAGCTGATTTTCGGGTAGAGACAGACAAAGCTCTCGGTGTTGATATACCTGCATGCTGGTGAGTGGTAATGAGAAATTCGTCGGCTAGAACGTTAACGTCCCACCGCTTTCATAAGTGGCTGTTATCACGTCTTTCATGGTGTATGTCCGTCTCCCAGCTGTTAGCGCAGTAAGTTTCTTCCACTTGCATGTGATGCCTTAAGCGTCCCGTGGTGTGAGGGACCCTTGTGTGGTGGACCCATTCTGATGCTTGAGTACCGATCTCATTACTGCTGATGTCGGCGCCTTTTACCTCTGCCTCCTCCTTGCTGGCCATATAGTACGCCTCAGCCACAGGACGCCTGGTCTTCCCTATCGCATCACCGAGTCTGACGTCTTTCACGGTCAGCAAGAAACAAGGTGACACGGCCGATGTCCTCCGCCCTCCTGTAGAATCCGCCTAACTCTCTGTTAGCATTTTGTATGAAGTAAGTGCCTACTTTCCCACTACCATCGCTGCCATTGCGACGAGTTCTGGCTCTAGCTTCGTAGACCCTAGTCCTCCGTCTTTTAGTGGTAGCTCGGAGCATAAAACGCGACTTCCACATAGCATTTTTTATCCGCTGGTCTGCTTCCTTCACAATGTCGTCGTCACGTAAGCAATGTATCATGGGGTTCTGGGGCACGCGGTTGCTTCAATGTCAACAAACCATTGTTTGTCATTGACGCTGTCGTTACCAACAATGACATGGGTCATTGCTTTGACTTGCCGGCGCAACTTGTTTAAAATCCAATACAGCGCCTTGAACGACAAGTTGCCCTTCTTAATTATCACCGTGAAGCTATAGAAGGGTCCAATTTGACTACCGCATTGGTATATAAGGCCTCTTTCTTTTGGCGCTCGTAATCTATGAGCGGTAACATTCTCATGCCCAGAGGTATCTTCAATTTGATCCACTTTGTCGCTGCACGCTTCCATTTGAAATTGACTTTCCTTATTCTCGTATACGTGTTAATCTCCGCTCTTGCAATGGCTGCTTTGAAGTCCGCGGTCTCCTGCTGTTGTGGCTAAGCCGTCTCCGCACCCGTGTGTATTTCTTTAACGGCTGCAGCCTTAAGCATGTTGCCACCAATACGCTGTCCCGGCACCAGATGTGCATACAACGGGTACTCGAGAGACATGAGGATATCCTCATAACCTGCTAGTTCTTCAGCATCCATAGATTGAATGAGGAATCTGGTGCATACCGGTGCTTCCGGCTGGAGGTTGAAAATCATTAAGAGCGCTTGATTATCCTTCTCCGTTAGTTCGAGTAGCTCCCCTACTTCAAAACTCCTGGCTTCATGCAGAATTCGTACCAATGTTGGTACTCATTGTTACTCTATTCTGCTGTTCTGCTTGCGTCTGTCCCTTTGATAGCATGCTTAAGCGATCGAGCGTGCACTCGTTGCGGATTTGGTGTCTGTGAACCAGTCTGAATAGTCAAGTGCCTCAATCTTTGCTTCAGTACTTCCTTGACTTATTTTTTTTCTCGCAGACCCAAGTATACATCAGCTGTGATAAGCGCTCCACGTGTCCTTCATCGCCACAGTTCCAGGTGCTGGAAATGCCCTGGCACTGCTCCAGCATTTGACGAGAAATTTTGTCTCTCCACACATCCTAAGGGTCGCTCTGTCCTCTTCTTGTGCGTCGTTTTTATCTAGCGTAGCCAAATACGCTTGCTAGGTCATTCAGGCTGAACAATGTGTCCAACACGTAGTAGTCATGTGAAAATTGGCTCACAAGATATGTGAGCAGCTGCGCATATACCATACTGCCATCCCCCCTTGGTCGGGTGCACCCCGCCGTGGTTCCGCAGTATCCTCTAGCTGCGACTCCCCCGACGCCTGTTTGGTGATCTTCCTCTCCCGTCGTCCTCGTGTGGGACGTTGTGAACTCCACCTGCGTTCTCTTCGGTCACTCATGCTTGTTTTTCTTTCTTTTTGGATCCTCCCGTGATCGTGTGCCTCCATTTCTGCTCTTCATCCGCCTCTTTTTTCTTCATCGCGCGTTGGCTATTATCTTCTTTGCTCGTCTCCCGTGATACAGCTGCCAGGTCCATCACCGGTGGCTTCTTGCCCAAAGCTCTACGAACGATCTTTCCACCTGTGTCTGTTTAGGTTTTGATAGCAAGTTTGTAGGTCCCGAAGGTTTTGTAACCTTTCAAACACACCTCCAGAGTGTATAGCTTTCTATTGCTTGGTTCTCGCTCAGTTCAGAAGATTTGAGCGGGCACCAGCCAACTGGAAAGTGAAATCCGAGATGTTGCTTAAAAATATGGCCAGCCGTTGATCCCTCACCGTAGTTGAAATAACACCAAAGGGCACATGAGAGGCGACCTTTAGGTCCCCAGCCGGAAAGGTTCAGTCATTAAATACGAAAATTCAAAACTGGAAATACATAACAATTACAATCGTTTCATATTTTTAAAACAATTGCAACCTTCTTCCCAGTTTGAACCCTTCAACCTTATCACCAGTCGCATTCGAAGATTTCGCATCGTGATGAACACCCGAAGCAAAGGGCACCGACAAGAAAAAGCCGCCCCAGGCGAGTCTCTAGCTCGTGGCGACAACCAAAAGGAGCATGAGCAAGCTCATGTCTCCGAAACCAACGACGCAATCACGGAGATCACGGAGCATCTGCACACAATCTCGTTCGGAGAGCCACGAGACGCCACATCAACTGATTTACCCAAGATCGCAACTTGCAGTCAACTCAAAGAGGAATTGCCGGCTGTTTGCAATGAGGTTTTCCGTGTCCTGGGCTCTTACAACCTCGAGGCCACGTACCAACGAGCTCTAGCTCGGGAGCTCAAAGATCGAGGAGTGACGGTCTTCTCCGAGGTGGAGATTCCTGTCGAGTATAAAGGGCAGAGGGTCGCTACTCGACGTCTGGACCTCTACTTAAAGCTCGACAGACCTGTGATCCTCGAGCTCAAAGCTGTTGTGACGGGGCTCAAGACGGACCACATGAAGCAACTCAAGTTCTACATGACCCACTTCAACGTGAATGACGGATACCTCATCAACTTCCCTCACGTCACGGGGTTTCCAGACGACGACAACAGCGCGCACTATGTCGAGCGCGTGTTGCAGCCGGAAGGAGGAGTTGGAGTCAGCGACCGAGTCACCAGATCTTCCACACCTCGCAAGAATGCGATCCCCAGCATCATCCATGTCCACAAGACGACGGTGAGCTCGAAGACCGCGCTCGCAATGGCCAAGCTCGGATGATAGGTCTCATATGATCAACTAGCGCTGCAATTGACTATATCTACATATATCACACACATGTCTTTTAGCAGTTGTTTGCTTTGTTTGGAGAGAATCGGCAGTAGCAGGCCACATGGTAAAGCCACAACTTGTGGTCGCCTGCAAGTCCCGAGGAGTGTCTCTCCCTCCATGACGCAACCTACTCTGCTTAGAAACTAAGGCAACTTCTTCAGCTCATTCTCGTTTCCACTGTCAACTGCACACGCTTCTCCTTCACTCATCTAGCAACCATGAAATTCTTCCAGGTCCTCGTTTTCGCCGCCCTCGCCGCTGCTGGCGTCTCCGGACAAGCTGCCACCACTACGACAACCAACACCGGTGCGACTCCGTCTACAGGCGCTGCGTCTCCGGCAGTGACCCCCGCTACCGGAGCCACGGGTGTCGCTTCCTCAACTAGCGCGACTGCAGCTCCCGACACAGGTGCAACGACGGCTGCCTCTGCAGCAAGCACCACCACCACGGCTGCTTCCGGAACGGGCGCCACTACCCCCACCGTCGGCACCGCAGGCAGCGCCACGGCCGACACGTCGGTGGGAACCACAAGCTCAACTGGTTCGGTGGACGCAGGCAGCTCGACCACATCGACGACGGACTCGTCTTCAGATCCAGCGACCACCGTGTCGTCTTCCACTGGTGATTCGAGCTCTTCGGCTGCTTCTGCTTCGGCCAGTGCGTCCGGCTCGAGCAGTGCGTCTCAGATCACCTTGGGCGCGGCTGCTGCTACCGTCTTGGCCGTCGGCGCCTACTTCCTGTAAGCAGCTTGAACACTTGAGCACTGCCTGCATCTGTGAAATAGTTCATACGTACAAATACAACTCTTCACTTCCATCAAATGTCTAGCATGTTCCGTTAAGTGCATGTATTATACGTGCTATCCACGCTGACCAAAGCTCTTCTCACCTATCAGTCGGTTACGTTAGCGACGGCGACGGTCGCGACCGGGAGAGCGATCGTCCGTTCCCTTTCGCGCATCCGTGAGGAACTGGTCCAACCCGAACGGGTCGTCGTCGCTGTCTTCGCTGGGCGAACGGCGGCGCTTGCGGTTGCCGTCTCTGCTGCGAGATCTGGAGCGGGACGGCGAGCGTCGACGGCTACTGCGACCAGGCGAGTACGAGGGAGAGCGCGAACGCGCACGTGGCCGTCCACGCTCTCTAGAGTACGAAGGCGAACGCGACGGCGATCGCTTGCGTCCACGCGGAGCCGAACGGTCACGTCCGCGAGAGCGAGGCGGCGATCTGGACGGCGAACGACCACGTCTGGAACGGGGCGCAGACCGGTCACGTCCGCGAGAGCGAGGCGGCGATCTGGACGGCGACCGGCCGCGACGTGGGGGCGGCGAGCGCGACAGCGACCGAGTTTTCCGTGCGGGCGACTCGGACGGCGCCCGACGGGCATCGGGAGCTCGCGTCTTGTCAGCGTCTTCGTCCTCTTCCTTGACGTTGTCGTACGAGAACTGCACCGGTCCATCACGCTCCGGCAGCAGCCTCTGTGTCTCGGGAACTGATTGGTCCGCCTTGAA